GGGCAGTAATATATGCTCTATTTTATAACCCTTGGCCTGATTCGTCCTGCCCACTGGGTAGTAATATATGCTGTATTTTATAACATAACACATGTGACTGTCACGTCTACAGATATCTATCCACAAGGTAGTAATATATGCTCTGTTTTATAACATAACACATGTGACTATCATGTCTACAGAATTCTCCCGTCAAAAGTGAAAACTAGTAACTCACTTTTTTATCAAAATTGAGTTAGGACCAAATTTGTCGTTACTAGGATATGTGCTTCCTGTTGGTGTACTAGATATTCCAATCTTTTGATTTTGTAAGCAGTTACACCCATGACACAACCTAGCAACTTCATTTGCCTAGTATGCCACAGAAAAACCTAATAACTCAATAGTCAAATCAATGGATAAGCTGGGGTTTAATATTCATGCATTACGTTTTCCTTTGTTTTCTCAAAATAAGAAAAACGTGAGTTACTAGGTGTTGCCTTTTGATGGGAGAGATATCTGTCCATGCTTTATTTTGTAACCCACGCCCCGATCCGTCCTGCCCACCAGGTAGTAATATATGATCCATTTTATAAATCGCCATCCTGTTTACAGATATCTGTCCACAGTAATATATGATCTATTTTAAAAAACACCTCAATCAATGTGTGATAACATGTGCTTTATTTTTATAACACTTCAATCAATGTGTGATAACATGTGATTTATTTTTTATAACATTGTTGTTGTTTATTAAAAATTTAACGTCCAATACAGTGCCGGACTGGGTCCACCTGTCCGTGACAAGTGGGCCTAAGCTCATTAAAAAATGTGGGCCTGAGCCTATAAAGAAAAGAAAGAAAGGAGAGGGGGAGGAAAGAAAAGAAAGAAGGAAGGAGAGGACAGGACACAGGACAGAAGAATGTGACAAGGAGTAGGGTCACCTGTCCAACCTCGTGGGTTTTCTCTCTATTTATATAATAATTAAAAATATATGTTCTTTTTAGTAATATTATATCAACCACTTGGACCATACTATATGTAACCAATGTAAATTCTATATGGTATACATGTGACTTTGGTTTTTCATGAAAGCACCTCTGACCTACTCCAATGACATCAGGGATTGTTCTGGTCATGCATTGGTACTGAAAATAAAGGGGCATAACTCTTATTATTTAAGCAGTTGGTTTCAGACCACAATTAAAAATTATGTGTCAACAAAATATTCAAATTCGTACGTAATGGTGCATCTCGTTATTTTTCATATTTAATTCATTTAACCCCGGAACATACTAGTTGGTGAGCCAGGGCCTTACACACCTAGTCACTGTGGCTCTTATTCAGTGGAAGAGAAATCTACTAATATTATTTAAAGATCTCTAATAATGATTTCCTTGTCAGTGGTGCAGGACGGGGGGCCTCACAAAGACAGCTGTTTAGTCGTTTGGATGGGACATAAAACGAGGCCCCATGTACACATTGGCGTACACGTAAAACATCCCTTGTAGTTGGAATTCGATATAAGAGCAGGCCATAGTGCCGCTATCTGAGAAAAATTTCGCTCATAGGATACTGTATGGTGTATGCCCGTCTTCATTAGCCCAGTTGGAGCAGAACAGTTGGACGTTAAACCCCATTTCATTTCATTTCATTTCTGATAATGACTGTAAAAACATTATTATTATTATTATTATTATTATGACTTTTTCAAATTTATTTCCGTCCAGTTTATATGCTGATACTTTTACAACAAGAACTTTGAACTTTGTGATATTTAAATCTGTTTTATAATGGTAGGCCAGTTTTAATATGATATTTGTAAACTGTCCCTGCGATACTTTTACAACACGAACTTTGCGATATTAAAATCTGTTTTATAATGGGAGGCCAGCTTTAATATATCTGTAAATTGCCCCCTCAATGTTATCATTGATACATTTCAATATAGTTCTTGTCAGTTTGTCTATTTAAGGTCAATATATCTATATAAGGTAAATTTATCTATACATGTATAAGGTCTTGTCAGTTTGTCTATTTAAGGTCAATATATCTATATAAGGTAAATTTATCTATACATGTATAAGGTCATTATACATTATAAGGTCCATGATAAGGTCAAATTTGTATTATGATTACTTATTTGACAGATATAGCTTTTAGTAATCTGACTCCCTACAGTATTGTAATCACTTATTTGATAGATATAACTACAAGTAATCTGACTCCCTACAGTATTGTAATCACTTATTTGATAGATATAACTACAAGTAAACTGACTCCCTCCAGTATTGTAATAACTTATTTGATAGATATAACTACAAGTAATCTGACTCCCTCCAGTATTGTAATAACTTATTTGATAGATATAACTACAAGTAATCTAACTCCCTCCAGTATTGCAATAACTTATTTTATAGATATAACTTTAGAATATACATTATGCAAGAGCTAAATCTGCCTTTTTCAGGTCTTTCTTTAGGCCTGAAATGTTATCTAAATTATTAATTAGATGTTAATTAACTTATCCAGACCATAATCAACTCTCGATGCCATCTCTAGACTGCAATATTTAGTGGATTGGAAGACATTTTTTGAAAAATGAATAATCAAGACTTTGTTTTTTAGCATTCCGACTTTAGTAATGTGCCTAAAATTCAAAAGCACCAAGTGGAGTAATTTGACTAAAATTTTCAGCATATTCTATTTACGTTATCTAGTTTTTAACTATTATAGTGAGAACTACCAGCTCTTTATCTAATATGATGTATCTTTAAGTAATGTTAACTCCCTCCATTAATATGATGTAAAACTGTGATATAAGCTGTAGATGTAGTCATGTGACATTGATTATGTACCTGTATATGAATTGATGTATTTCAAAAATTAATTGGTTGATTTTTAGTAACTGGGTGAAAAATCAAAATTTGAAATTTAAAGTTTTGAATTCAAATACAAAATATTTAAATCATTGTTGAGTGTGAGTATTCTACCGGGTAGTTCCATGACTATAGTAAATGTGATATACATGTATAGTCTTGTTTTTCTACTATATATTGAATATATTATACACTTTTTTATTGTTTTATTCTATCTCATGCCAGTACGGTACTTATATAATATATTCTATCTCATGCCAGTGTACATTACTTGTATAATATATTCTATCTCATGCCTGTACTGTACTTATATAATATATTTTATCTGAAACCAGTACAGTACTTATATTCTATCTCATGCCAGTGTACATTACTTATATCTCATGCCAGTACAGTACTTATATATTATATCTCATGCTAGTACAGTACTTATATATTTTATCTCATACCAGTATAGTACTAATATATTTTATCTCATGCCAGTACAGTACTTATATATTTTATCTCATACCAGTATAGTACTTGTATTATATCTCATGCCAGTACAGTACTTATATTCTATCTCATACCAGTGTACAATACTTATATATTCTATCTCATGCCAGTACAGTACTTATATTCTATCTCATGCAAGTACAGTACTTATATTTATATAAGTAATTACATTACAGTCCAGTAGAGTATATTTATATAAGTAATTACATTACAGTCCAGTTACAGTACTTATATTGTACCAGTATTTAAGATATTTATAAACTAAAACATGATATTATTGTATGTTCTGGTTTATTATGTAATGATTGTGTTCTGTACCGTAATAAATAGACACACAACTACGCTAATAAAGTTTTATTTTATTATTACCCCGTGGGGTTTACAGCGTTCTCTTATTGTGGACAGTTCACTTGTGATTGCAACTTCCTGAAACAGACTTGCTGGAATTCACAGGGTTGTTCTAGCACATACATACGTAATATTCACCGGTTGTTAAAAATGAAGTGCGGCAGAAAGTTGATAAATATATTCCAGATTTAAACATGTTATCTAAATTATCAATTAGACATTAATTAACTTATCCAGACCATAATAAACTCTCGATGTCAAGGCTAGCCTTCGATGTTGGCTGGATTAGTAGATTCCTTTATGCCACTAACGGCCATTGATAATTAAATAAAAAAAAGTGGATAATCGAGACTATGCTGTTTATATTAAGGATTTTAGTAATGATGACCGAGACTGCAAAAATTTCACCCGCTTCTTTCTCGGCTCATAGTGGATCAATTTGACTGAAATTTTCAGCAAATTACCTTTACACTATCTAGTTTTTAACTATTATAGCGAGAACTGCCATCTCTTTATCTTACCTCCCATATCTCCCATAATGTATCTTTAACTTTAACAAAAATTTGTTGGCCTAAAACATTCGCAGGGTCATGCTGGTTCATTTGATACCTCATGTGTGGGTGTAGAGCACGGAGACAAAGAGTTATTTGCCTGGGGCCCATATTCGATTGCTTAAAACATTCACAGGGTTATTCTGGTTAATTTGATACCACATGTGGGAGTGGATCGCAGCTACAAAGTGTGATGGGCAAACATATACATCTTTCGGGAGTATTTTGCCTGTGTTTCTGTCTACATTCCCTTTAAATCCAATTGCCAAGGGATCTTTTACATGAACGCCAATATATACATGGGGGGGGGGGGGCCTTGTTTATCATTCCATGTCAGCCTCACACAATGGTGCTACCATGTTTGATTTATATAGCGCTTCATTTGATTTATAAGCGCATTCACAACAAAACAGTTCAAAACCATTTATGAGATATTTTTTTTTTTAAGTTATTAGTCTTAAAACTCTGGATGGAAAAAAAGTGCCATCAAAGAGTTTTAGGAAGATCATTTGCACATTTTATCTGTTCTGAGAGAAAGCAGAACGTTCCTGATGGTCACGAAGGTTTTTCTCGGCCAATGTCGGGATTCAAATCCAGACCCCCATGATGTGTATCACGGCAGTGTTATGGAAGTTGTTGTTCAGTAACATAGCCTTGATATTCAGTCACATATAGCATTGATATGTTTTGTCATGTCTATAGAAGAAATAAAACGAGAAAAAATTCACTTAAAAAAAGTTAAAAGAAATCGATGATGATGAATAATTTATTTAATATGTTTCTATATCCTGGTCTCATGTAATTTTATAATATCATACATTTCATTTCTTTATTAATATTATTTATAGATTGTTATTTACAACTTGTAGTACATATACAATGTATAAACATAACATATATATTACTCTGGTAAAACTTAATTAAAATAATCTTTTTGAGAGGCATTTAGAAACTGGACAGAGCAATAAACTATAACACATACTTATGATAAAACAGCTACTTATTTATTTAGACGACGTTATCAAGTTAAATAGAGAGAGAGAGAGAGAAATGGGGTTTAACGTCCACTCGACACAACTAGGTCATTTCGGGACTAACATATGGTTTAATTTTATTTCAATAATTCGCTTGCGCGTAGAGGTCTTTAGCAGTGGGAGGAAACCGGAGCGCCCGGAGGAAACCCACGAGGTTGAGAAGGCGCCCCTATCTCCATGCCACATACGCTCACACCAGGGCTCGAAACCACAGCCGCAAGCCAGAGGTGACCGGCCAGCCAGAGGTCGAAGCGCGGCACTCTAGACCACTAGGCCATCCCAACCCCCCTCAAGTTAAATAAATCAGAGCAGTTTCCCCATAAGTGTGTGTTCTCGTTTATTAATTAAAATACTTCATCTATTGGCATTCTTTTAAACCTGACATTCACAATAAACTATGATAAAACAGCTACTTAATTATTTGGACGACGTTATCAAGTTAAATAAATCAGAGCAGTTTCCCCATAAGTGTGTGTTCTCGTTTATTAATTAAAATACTTCATCTATTGGCATTCTTTTAAACCTGACATTCACAATAAACTATGATAAAACAGCTACTTAATTATTTGGACGACGTTATCAAGTTAAATAAATCAGAGCAGTTTCCCCATAAGCATGTGTTCTTGTTTATGAATTAAAATACTTCATCTATTGGCATTCTTTTAAACCTGACATTCACAATAAACTATGATAAAAACAGCTACTTATTTATTTGGGCGGTGTTATCCAACTAAATAAATCAGTAGCTGTTTTTTCCGTAAGTGTGACCACATGATCATTAGTGCGCTCTCAATGTGCACAAGGATGAAGTGCTTTATATATTTGTTAATAGTTTACTAATAAAAATACTTCATCTATTAGCATTCTCTTAAACCTGGTATTCACAATAAACTATGACATACACTTTTGATCATTAGTGCGCTCTTAATGTGCACAAGGATGAAGTGCTTCATATGTGTAATAGTTTATAAATTAAAATACTTCATCTATTAGCATTCTCTTAAACCTGATAAACACAATCTGAATTAAAAATAAGTTTGAATTATGAATTATATAGTAACTGGATAGAGCAATAAAATATGACACACACTTATGATAAAAGAGAGAGAGAAATGGGGTTTAATGTCCACTTGACACAAACTAGGTCATTTCGGGACTAACACATGGTTCAATTTTATTTCAATAATTCGCTTGCACGTAGGCGCCTATAGCAGTGGGAGGAAACCGGAGGACCTGTAGAAAACCTACGAGGTTAGACAGGTGAACATATGATAAAACTGCTACTTATGTGCACAAGGATGAAGCACTCCATCCATAGGGTTTATTAATTAGCATTCTTTTATACCTGATATTCTCAACCTGAATTGATAAGTTTGATATGAATTATTTTTAATTTAAAAATTTTGCCATTATACAGTAGATTCATGATCTCAATTAATTATAGGCTTGATACACATTGATATGAACATAGCAATCATTTACATCCAAATAATTTACCCAAAATACAGTCAACACCAATCAAAATTCAGAAATAGTTTATTCTTAATAAAAATAAAGTGATGCCAGAGTGGTTGGACGTTAAATATTTATATATGTACTTTTCATTCGAAGCCAGCTATATCAGAGCCCAATATTCCTGCCCTTCCCCCTTTTTGATCAATGCTAAGGTTTAATTTCTGCTCATTAAGTTCCATATCCATGACATACTCTGGCAATTTTACAAAAGTTTCTTGGGAAGTCCTCGCTCCACCCCTCACTTCCTGAAAAATCGTGACAGCCCACCATGAACGCATGAATCAACCCCATTAAAATTCAGAAAAAGTTACTAGTTTTAAAAAAGATGTACATTACATAATGCTGATATCACAGTAATCGTGGGTTTAATTAATATGATTTATATACAATAAATAATAGCAACAAAACAATTTACACACATCTACGAGCTTTCAACAAATCGTCGGAATTCTTCCAAGCCAATATGACCTTCCACATTATTGGTACATTCAGACACCAGCTGAAACAATGAAAAAAATTAATAATAAACTGTGACAGGGGTTGAGACAGGTGTTTGATAGCTGATTAGTCTTATCATTGCCCTTTAGAACATAAGGCCTTTCATTAAGTCTAAAGTTTGTTACAAAATGAAATGAAATGGGGTTTAAAGTTCTACTGTTCTGTTCCGAACTTGGCTTATGAAAACAGTGTGCTATGAGGGAAATTTTGCCTGGATTGCGGCACTACGGCCTACTCTTATATCGAATTCCAACTGCCAAGGGATCTTTTACATGCATTCCTTGGTTTTTCATACCATCCGAATGACTAGACAACTGTCCTTGTCAGGCCGTCAGTCCTGCACCATGGTCTAAAAACTTGACTGAGAAGTATTAGTCTAGTTGAACAGACCTGACTTTTAATCCGTATTCTATCTCAAACCTATGCTAGACTAGCCACTCATTTACAACTGGCTCATCTTGCTCTTTTCCTGGGAAACACTAATTATCATCGATGTTACCCTTGTTGGAAGCCGACGTCAAGCCCCAAAAAACAAACGATCACAAAAATTGATTGCAACTTCGAATGATTAAATTATTGTCTGGATGAAAACTATAAATACTTACAGAAATGATGACGTCATCATCAGTAGGTAGTTGCAGACGACGACATAACTCTCGCATATTATTGGCATCAATATAACCTGTTCTATCGGTATCGTATCGTAAAAACATCTCATCAATCCGTGTTTTGTCTGTTATGGCGATCTTCTTTAACTGAGCTCTTACTTGTCTTACTAAATTCTCTAAATCACCAGGTCTGTCAAAATAAAATACAAAACAATGAAATGAAATGGGGTTTAACGTCCTACCGTTCTGCTCCGAATGAAGATGGACATATGTCATACAGTGTGCTATGAGACAAATTTTGCCCATAGGGTCTACAGCTTACTCTTATATCGAATTCCAACTGCCAAGGGATCATTTACATGCAATGTGTACACGGAACCTTGGTTTTTCATCCCATCTGAATGACTAAACAACTGTCCATGTCAGACCCCCAAGAATCTGTTCGGCATCTGAGGGATTATGAAGTCCTTACATTTTACAGAAAATTGAATCTCTAAAGGGAACATCATTCAAAAAAGGGTTCACTTTGCAACATTCGTCATCCTCTGAAAGTGTTGGGTAAATTTTCAAACTGTTTGAATCCAAACCAAGAGAATATCTATATTTTCTTTCTTAATTAAATGTTAAATAATCAATTTGAATACATTTTAGTGTCGTTTATTCTGTGGGAAAGTAGATACTATCTGTTTTGTAATTATAAAGAGAGAGAAATGGGGTTTAATGTCCACTTGACATAAACTAGATCATTTCGGGACTAATGCATGGTTCAATTTTATTTCAATAATTCAGCAGTGGGAGGAAACAGGAGGACCCGTAAAAAAACCCATGAGGTTGGACATGCGACCCTACTCCTGGTCACGTACAACATGGGATTCAAAACCACGCCAGTTGACTCAATGACAGACCTTATTATGCAGGGCACATGTGCTAACCATTCGGCCATCCAACCCCTCTTGTAATTATACACAAAACATTAATTCATAAGACTCACTTGGTTAATCATTTATCATAGCCCTGGAGAAATAAAATTTAAACATCATTTTCTCAAATTAATTTTAAAAGGCAAGACTACTTACGATCTTTTCACTGTTAATGGACCGCCTTTTGTTGATGTTTTATCAACCGTGATCATGGTTTCACCTAACTTCTGCCTTAATGATTCAATTGTCTGTTCTGGGAACTGTTCTTTATGTTCTTCCATGTATTTAAGAACGTACTGATCAGCAGATGTGATAATGAAGCGATGTTTGAAAACCTCAACAACAGCACCAATATAGAAATCCTGGGGTCCGTAAAAGGACGGTTTATCTGGTTGAGAGCCCGGTTTAGCCACTCGTGTACGTTCAAGGAATTTTCCTCCGATTATTCCTGAGTTTCTGACTGGTGGTTCATATATGGTCATCATGTCGTCTGCTAATCTGTAGGCCAAGATGAACCTTCGACCTCTATCTTCTGGTTTCATAGAATCCTGGAAAAAACATTTGTTTTTGAAATTAAGTAAAATTTGTTTTGGATATTTAGCAAAAATTTATTCTTGATATTTAGTAAAATTTGTTTTGGTTATCATGCTAAAATTTGAGATTTTGAGTAGAAGTTTTGTTTTGTATTTTCAGGAAAATTTGTTTTGGATTTTTAGTAGTTTTTCTTTTAGATTTTTAGTAAAAATTTCGTTTGGATTTTTAGTAAAATTTCTTTTGGATTTTTAGTAAAATTTCGTTTGGATTTTTAGTAAAATTTCTTTTGGATTTTTAGTAAAATTTCTTATGATTTTTAGTAAAAATTTGTTTAATAATTATTTTCTATTTAATTGTTATTTCACATCTTTAAATAATCTTTCCAGCTTCAAAATTGTAAAGGAATAACTCACCATAGCTGCTTCAAATCTAAGAACTTTATGATCGTTTTCCAGCATTTTGATAAAGTCTTTTTTAGGTGGCTGAGGAACCAGAGATAAGCAGGACTGTAGAGAATCTTCCATGGAACCGAAATTATTATAAGGTGGAATTTCCTGGGAAAAAAAAAGAAATAGAATCATTATATCCAGGTTTCATTTGACCAATGTATTTAGACTTTTAAAACAGTGGAATTTTCTTTAAAAAGGTTAACAAAACCAGGTAGGCTACACACAGATTTCACAGGTAAAAACAAAAAATTAGAAAATCTGCAATAAATAATTTTTTTGATAAAAATTATTCAATATTGATTTTATTTAAAATGACATGAATGAATTTTACCAGTCCATGCCTGACTGCTAAATTATCTGCCCCTCAACGTCCATACCCAAAAATATATTAAGATGGATTTTAAAAAGTCTGTACATGCGGCCTTATTTTTTTCATGTATGCTTATTATATTGTTCTAAGAACGATTGGCAGCGCCATAGACTTTTTTTTAAAGAGTAGGTCTACTGCCCCTATACAACAATACACAAGCTGTGAGTTCACAAAGCATTCTCAGGCTTAAGTTAAGAATTTACTCAATATTGTTCACCTTACTTTAATCAAATATAGCCCTTTATAAAACTTTTGTTGTTTAAATGTATCAAATTCATCTACAAGAAACTATATGTTTCTGGATCAAAAATATTTCTCATAAACAGTGATTGAAATTTGAGTACATTCTGATCTAAAGTCTGAAAATGCTTTGCGAACTTGGGCCTAGGTCACAATTCTATGAAATAAATTACTGATTATTACTGAGCAACATTTCAACTAGGCTTCTGTAGTTTTTATCAAGCAGTGGTGAAATCTAAAACACGATGGGAAAATATAGATTTCATCATTGCTTGATAATGACTAGAGAAGCCTAGACGTAACATTGCTCAGTAATAAGCAATAATTGTATTACATAGATTAGAATTGTGTATTCCAGTTCAATTACTAAATGCCATTGAAATGAAATGGAGTTAACGTCCTACCGTTCTGCTCCGAATTGGGCTAATGAAGACGGGCATACCCCAGTGTGCCATACAGTGTGCATCACTGACAAGGGGGAATCACGCCGGAAAATCTGGATGAACTTTCTCGGACAATGCAGGGATCAAACACCCGACCTCCAGGCTAGCGAGCCAGCGTCTAACCCACTTGGCCACAGTGACCCCCAAATGCCATTGAAACAATTTCCTTGAAACAACAAGAGGATGGTTACAAAGCCAATTAAAAAATACTTACCATTTTGGGCAATTCCTTTGCCATACCCTCGACGTCCACAGCAGGGAAATCTGTTATACCGAAATTATGATAATAAAATGACTTGGTGAAGTTATCGCAATCATACACCAAAAATCTTCGACCGTAAATGATGACAGTTTTACCAATCATAAAATCTCGTGGTGTGAAATATTCCTTGATCTCGTGGTCGGTGACTTCCATGGTGATGAGTGGAAAGCTTGGTTTGATATCGGAACGGTTTTTAGGTACCTTGTGTCTACCAATCAAAACAGGGAACGGATCCCGACCATCGTTTGGTTTGTGAACCTCACGGATTTCTAGAGTGTCATCTACTAAATAATACTGAAAAACACGATGAAAAAACAGATTGTAGATTGAATATATGTTTGTTTTTTTAAAATGACACAAAGGCCCAATTTATTTTAATAGAAATATAAAAATGCACAAAATTTGCTGTTTTGGGAGTCTGCTTCTTTTTTTCTTAAAACTAGTATCATGATCTATACAATCTGATTAAAATACAGATCTATATTTCGTTTCGTTTTTTATACTTTCGATGGCCTACACTACATGAAGATCTGACAAGTTATAGCGATAGGTCATGTCAGGGGTTAAAAGACCGACTTATGACCCTATGATGTCAGACATTTGATTAACCAATCAGCATTGATGTTACTAGTGGATTACCCACAGTTCCGTGCAAAACACGGCTAAAGCTTGCCGTAGAATACCGTTTCATTGGCTTATCCCTGACACTATTCAGAACACGAGTTAAATAACAACTCTTCCAGATCCAAGTGTAGTAGAGACAAGTAAAACGAAATTTTGTACTATAAGAAAAACGAAACGAAATAGGATATGTGTTTTAACCAGATCGATGGTCTATACCATCATCAAAGTTAAATATCTCAGACTATCTAAAGGTACTTTGAAATTTAAACTAATGCATAGTTGTGGTTTGATTTATTGACCCATGTATCTCATACAGAATAGCAGGACGTAAAACCCCCATTTTATTCAGCAGGAGCCGTTAACAAATGAAATGAAAAATGGGGTTTAGCGTCCTACTGTTCTGCTCCTACTGGGCTAATGAAGATGGGCATACACCATACAGTATGCTAGGAGCAGAAATTTGCCCGGACAGCGGCACTATGCCCTACTCTTATATTGAATTCCAGCTGCCAAGGGATCTTTTACGTGCACGCCAATGTATACATGGATCCTCGGTTTGACTAGACAGCTGTCCTTGTCAGGCCCTCTGTTCTGCACCACTGACAAGGGGAAACCACGCCCCGGAAAATCCTGATGAACTTTCTCGGTCAATGCAGGGATTGAGCATGCGTCCCCCAGGCTAGCTAGCCAGTGTCTTACCCACTTAGCCGCTTAACCAATAGCAACAAATATAGATAAATACTTACATGTAAAATAAACGGTCTCAGTTCACCAAACATACTATCCTGGTCGTCCCATAAACAAAACAATCTCAATACTTTACGATCTAACTCGAGGAATTGTCGAGTCTTGTCGAAGGAAGATGGTGTGCTGAATGTTTTTAATGCTGAGGCATTTTTTCGCTGTACGATGTAAGGATCGGTTGGAACAGATTCCAAGGGGTTGACAATTATACCTTCACTCTCCAAGAAATTCTACAATAAACAGAAAAATATGTTTAAACCCTTAACCTGTCATTGTCGACTATAATCTACACAACGTTATACAGCTAAGTGGTCACGGTCGACCACAGTAAGAACATTTTTTATAAGCCGCATTTGAGTATTTAGTTTTGTATTTAATTGATATGGCCACACATGCGTGTCAGACAGGAACTTAGTGCATTAAGAAAAACATGTCTTTGTTCAACATTTTTGGACAAAAAACGTAATTTAACGATGTCAGGAAGGTTAAAGACTCTCAAAGTGGTTGAAATGCTTATGAATGATTCCGACTCGGATTATATCGATGACACCGATTCTGAAGACGATATTTCTGATGAAAATGATTCAGAATGATTTGCAAATTATAGATCAACTTATCCCCTTCAATTTTTTTTATTGGTGTCAAGAGTCTATCACTTATAATTATCCAGCAATAGTCTTTTGAAATAGGCATACAAAATATTTCACTTTAATCTTTATTTAGCCTGACCACTTGACATCAAAATGACGTCAACCGGTTAAGCGTTAATTTAGAAATGAAATAGGGTTTAATGTCCTGCTCCGACTGGGATAATGAAGACAGGCATACGCCACACAGTGTTCTATGAGGAAAATTTTGGCCGGGCAGTGACACTATGGCCTACTCTTATATCGAATTCCAACTGCTAAGTTTGAAAAAAAAAATTAATATAAGGAAGGGGCAGTAACTCTGCAAAAAATCAATAGGATTTCTCAGTATAGATATCAGTACTAATCTGTGTGAACTTGCAAAACAATACAATCCCAGCAAGTTTGAAAAAAAAATCCAATAAACTCTTACAGGGGCAGTAACTCTGCTAAAAATCAATAGGATTTATCAGTATTGATGTTTGTACTAACCTGTGTGAACTGATCACAGCTAACAATTTTGAATATTTTCCCGTAGAATGTGAGGTTCATACCGATATTGATGTCTCTCCAATGATATGTACCACCCTCATCGTCTTTAGGCAGCTTCTGACGTTTGATTAGTTTGCCTGAAAATGAAATAAGTTATGATGACTGCAGGGTACTTGAATAATTTCATTATGATATGTTTGGAGAGAGAGAGAGAGGGGGGTGTTAATATGGACTCCACACAAACCAGGTCATTTCGGGTCTACCATATGGTTCAATTTTATTTCAATAATTCGCTTGCGCGTAGGGGTCTTTAGCAGTGAGAGGAAACCGGAGGACCCAGAGAAAACCCAAGAGGTTGGACAAACAATCATTCTACTCCTTGTCATGTACAACCGAGGAATCGAAACCACATCAGTTAACTAAATGACAGACCTTATGATATAGTGTGCACGTGCTAACCATTTGGCATCCAACCCCCCTTATAAGCTTGCAAAACACTGTAAATTTCTAGGTAAAACTTTTCAACTCCTTTTATTTTTTATGTAAATAATATTGTATTTTATTGTTGGAGATATTATATTCTCACAAAAATATTTATAGGGTAGTTATTTCCAATAAAAGCTTGGCAAATTTGGTATAAATGAAAAGTATAGACGCCCAATTTTACTAGAAAATTACCGGATTCCCTGAAAAACACCCATGAGCCAAGCACTGGGCAAAAATGTCAGGGTATCACAAACTGGCAACCTGACTGTTGTCTGCCATCTTGACTTAGGAGTGGTTGATATTTTTTGAGCAAATGGTTAGGTGGTTTTGGGAATATTGAGGGGTTTAAATGTACAACAGACTCTATGCAATTAAATGGCGGAAAAAGGAGTTGACAGAAGATAGTCCAAGAATTTACATCATTTTCAATATGTATGGCAAATGGACAGTAACGACAAATACATTCTGAAAATGGGCCCTCCCTCAATCAAGTTACATGACTTCTAACAATAAGAGTTTTTACATCTTGGGGTATTTCCTCGCAAATACAATGTTTTGAGAAGGATTTGAAGCAAATTTTTGATAGATCAATTAGTTTGAATATGATATTAGTCCAAATATATCATCAAATCACCAAGTTTTTACGTGGGAAGGTATCTTTAAGATTTTGATTTAGATTTCTACCTTGTGGCATTCCACTGTTCTCAACATGAGGTTCGAAGACAGCTATAGTATCATCTTCTAGATAATAATATAATTCAACAGGACGTACACGGTACGTTTCATCCGGTGATTCTATGATGGTCTGAGTAAAATAACCATTAAACCTTAAAACCTGAAAAAAAATTACACAAATAAATAATAACGCTTGATCGTCCTCTTGTAAATCCACTTGAATTTAAGCTTGGGGATTATCTACCATTTTCATCTTATTTTCTTAAAATTAGATTATGTAAGATTTAGATAAAGAGCTGGCCATTCTTGCTATAATAGTTCAAAAATAAATAATGCAAAATGAATATATATTGAAAATTTCACTCAAATTACTTTATCACTGTTTGTAGTTTTGACAAGATGTGTGCATAGATTGATTATTCTCGTAACCATGACCTCGAGGGCCTTGCTTTTCATTTTTTAAATTAAATCATTAAATGTTGGAACCATTCTAATCTACTTAAAATCAGATCAATCTGATGGCATCGGGAGTTGATCTTGTTTTGTTAATAAATGTCTAATAAATTATATAACATTTAAGACCTAAAGAAAGATCTGCAATAGGCAAATTTAGCTCTTACATAATTCCTGTTTAATCAAATGCTTTAAAAGCAATCAATTCTAGTACACTTTGCAATAGACAATAAAATAGCATACATAAAATGTATGTGGATACATAATTTGAAAGAAATTTTACAATGTTCTACAGGAACTAAATATAATTACAATTCTTAGGTGTAAGAGCCATGATTTAAAGTAAAAATCGTGATTTGAAGTAAAAATCGTGATTTGAAATAAAATCGTGATTTGAAATAAAATCATGATTTAAAGTAAAAATCGTGATTTGAAGAAAAAAATCATGATTTAAAGTAAAAATATTGATTTGAAGTAAAAATTGCGATGTGAAGTCTAAAATTACAAACAATACTGCATTTTATAATGTGATGGAGACTGTTTTTGTAGCAGTAGTTTAAGTTTAGTTACCTTTTTGTCTAACTTTACATGAGATGGTATAAAATCAGTAGGCGGTGCTTGTTTTGCTTGTCCGTATGTTAAAGTTGGATGAAAGTTGGCAAGTTCGTCTAATTCGGCTTCATTTAGCTGATTTCTGGTAATAGGTACACCTCCGATACCAACTTCAGGTCTTAATGGTAGGGCATAGCCATTACTATATTTCAAAGATTGACTTCTATGATATCTCATATTCTGTAAAAACAAGACAATTGAATATATTAGAGAGAGAGAAATGAGTTTTAACGTTCACTCAACACAAACTAGGTCATTTCGATTGTGCATAGGGGTCTTTAGCAGTGGGAGGAAACTGGAGGACCCGGAGAAAACCTACGAGGTTGGACAGACATCCCTACTCCTTGTCACGTACAACCGGGGAATCGAAACCATGCCATCTGAATCAATGACAGACCTGATACAGAGCGCATGTGCTAACCATTTGGCCATCCAAACCTCCTTGAATATATTAGTATTCTGAACAAGTTCATGTTGATACTGAACCAGCATTCAAATGTGAATACATAGAAGACTACTGACTGGTGAGGTGACACTTTCTAGTTATGTATATTTATCCACATGATATGCTCAAATACAGTCACATCATTTTATTTTCAGCAGATGTTTACAGACTGTAGAAAGTTTTACACGTCAAAATAATCCTCATAATCCACTTAATCAACTAAACTTATAAAATACCGGATGCTAAACCCCATGTTATTTCAGAATTAACATTGGTACATATTCATTTCAGTAATTGGCTTAAGAAATGAAATGGGGTTTAACGTCCTACTGTTCTGCTCCATCTTGGCTAATGAACATCATGGGCATATGCCATACAGTGTGCTATGCAGGAAATTTTTCCCGAACACTGGTGCTAAGCCCTACATATCGAATTCCAAATGCGTGCACGGGACCTTAATTGTTTTTCATCCCATCCAAATGACTAGACAGCTGTACTTGTCAGACCTTTCATCCTGCACCACTGACAAGTGGAAACCATGTCAGAAAATCCTGATGAACTTTCTCTGCCAACACCGGTAGCGAGCCCGCGACCTCCAGGCTAGCGAGCAAGCATCTTATTCACTTAGCCACTGTGACTTGGGAGAAGGGTTCTTCAACTTGGAGTAAACCCCCTGACTATGACTGAGGTTGGAGTTGATTAACAATCTTTAATAGAAGGCTTGATCTAGCTTTAACTTTACTAAGATTTTAGAGATGAACTAAACTATTGCAAAACTCACAGTCATTGCTTCGGGAACTTATTTTAGGTTTGTTTAAAATGAATAGAGAAATAAAGATATTGTCAACAAAGGGGCTAGTGCCTAGTTCATTGGTCAAAATATCAAAACATGAAAATATTTTCTAGCCATCCACAGTCACATGAGTAGGCTACTACTGTGCAAGGCTGATTTATTTCTTCACCCCTGTCCAGTCCTGTTGCCATTTAATTTAAATCTAGACGAGTTGGCACTAAGCCCTATTGACATTGTAATGAATCTACATATATTTGTTTAGATTTTTAATCATTATCATTATATTATATTATATCAATATGGGACCCAACATTTTGAAGAAAAGAGGCCATTTGTTTCTGTCCCATCCCATGGTACTCATGTGGCTACTAAATTAGTAAAATAGGCCAAATATACTCCGAGTGTCCAGTCTGACTCTGTGGTGAGTAAATAAAATAAGAAATTTTTAGACCACATATTAATACTTACCGTCGGATCTTTGAAGCTGTTTCCTGGTAAAAAAGGTAGACCTTCCATTTTGTGTGTATGAAGTACAAACGATAAAACTGAAACTAAATCATTCACCAAAATTCAGGACAGATGATGTGTTTATGCTGCAAAATGTATCGTTGTTAGCATACGTTGCTATGGAAGCTTAATCTACACTGAAGTCTCGCGCGAGCGCAATGATACCATTATAATTTTCCGGAAATAGAGAGTTCACATTTTGGAAAATGGCGGCGGAAAAATAATTATTTTTAGAAGTTGAAGTGATGACTTGCACCTGTTGAATTCTCGACCTTTCTGAAGAAAACCTAGAAATTATTGAATGTTCTAACACAACTAGATATGTAACAAAACCATGACAGAGGTAAAATAGATAGTTGTGGGGGGTTGAAAAGAATCTATCGAAAAGTAAACAACACCACAACACGGACAAATTAATTTTATTTTTAATCACAGTCAGTGACTGACATTTAACTTTTTAAGACTTGCCTACCTCAACAGCCAACACCCAAACTGTTTCCCAGTTTATTGTTGAACCATTCAACAGCTTGTATACTCCTGTACACGGTTTATCACCAGGTCTGGACATAAGGCACCTGTCACAGACTTTAATATGTAACAGGCATTGCCTGAGTAGAGCGAAGCCGAAGCTGATTATTGTCAAATATAAAACCTTCATAATTAATTTTCTCAAGTGATACAAAAAATGTTAAATAATTTAGTTTTTCCAAATTGATTTTCATTTAGATCTAAATTGTATACATTAATTTTGTTTTTTAAAAAAGAACAAAAAAGTGTGAGAATTATTTTCATTGACGTCAAAAATATGTGACGTCATTGATTAGACGCGTCATAGAAATAGTTCTATGAGGCGCATAATCTCGCTTGGGCGAGATTTGGTAAGTTGACATGCTCATTACCTGTTTTGCCCAGTGTATCCGGTTCCGATCTGAATTTTTTTTTAATCAACAGTCTGTGGGTGACAATTTCAGTTACGCTCCTGTGTTACCGGAAAAGAGCTTTGCTCAAGCACCGCGCTTCGCGCGATGCTGTAGAGCTTCGCTCTATATAAAGTACAAATTATCACACAGGACATTCCTGTAGTAGCCTAAGTAGGGAGGGGGGGGGATGTTGACATGCGCATTACCTGTTTTGCCCAGTGTATCCGGTTCCAGTCTGAATTTTTTTTTAATCAACAGTCTGTGGGTGACAATTTCAGTTACGCTCCTGTGTTACCGGAAAAGAGCTTTGCTCAAGCACCGCGCTTTGCGCGATGCTGTAGAGCTTCGCTCTATATAAAGTACAAATTATCACACAGGACATTCCTGTAGTAGCCTAAGTAGGGAGGGGGGGGGGGATGGCTGAATGGTTAGCGCGTGCACGTTGTATCATAAGGTGTGTCGTTGAGTCAACTGACATGGTTTTGATTCCCTGGTTGTATGTGATAAGGAGTAGGGTCACCTGTCTAACCTTGTGAGTTTTCTCTGGCCGAGTCGGGGTCCTCCAGTTTCCTCCCACTACTAAAGACCCCTACGAGCAAGTGATTTATTGAAATAAAATTGAACCATATGTTAGTTCATAAATGACCTAGTTTGTTTCGAGCGGATGTTAAACCCGATTTTATTCTTTCTGTAGTAGCGTGGATTCAGAATGTAAACACAACGGAAATGTTACTAAACTAAGGAACTTTTCAATGATGAGTGGTAATGTGACAGCTAATGAAAACATATCAAAAAGTGATCAGCTGCCGTAATTTGCACAGCATTCACCATTTCGGCTCAAAATAATCAATTACACACCAGTGTGGTTTGTCTTTCATTGTGGTTTGCGATGCACACACACTGGCTGCTGTAAATCTTCTGTTATTCTTCTTAACATCAATTTTTTTATCAATAAGCTCACTGACCTGGCAAAATTACCCCCTCCCCTCACATTGCACAAGGGGGGTTGGACGGCCGATTGGTTAGCGAGCGCCCAATGCATGATAAGGTCTGTCATTGAGTCAACTGGCATGGTTTTGACTCCCCAGTTGTAGGTGATAAGGAGTAGGGTTGCCTGTCCAACTTTGTGGGTTTTCTCCGGGTCCTCCGGTTTCCTCCCATTGGGTTTGTGTATCGAGTTGACGTTACAAATTTTTCATTGAATTTATTTTTAGGTGAAGACAGGTATTTTATCAGTTCAAAGTATATCTGGTAAACAGAAATCTCGACCAATCAGATTACAGCTTTCATCTGATCATCTAACATTACAGCAAGAGGAATGGGTGACTGCTGCACTACAAGAAGAGGATGAAGCTTTTCTTAACATGGTAAACATAAATACACAATTCAAATCAGGTTTGGGGGTTTGGGTGGCCAATCAGATGGTTTAAATTGTGTGCTTTAGATTATAAGGTCTGTCATCGACTCAAGTGGCGTGGTTTCGATTCCCCGCTTGTACGTAACAAGGTGTAGGGTTGCCTGTCCCACCAGCTGGGTTTTAATGAAATAAAATTGAACCATATGCTAGTCCCGAAATGACATAGTTTGTGTTGAGTGAATGTTAAACCTCATCTCTCTGTCTCTCTCTCTCTTAAGGCCAAGGGGGTCACTGAAATAGTAAGTCTGGCAAAAGAAAGGAAATTATTTCAGCCATCTGGAATATTCAGTAATTACATGTACCAGACACTAAAGTGTTAAACATAATCCAATCTGATTAAACTACAGATCGTCTTTTATACTTTCGATGGCCACCACTACATGAAGATCTGACTGGTTGTAGTGGAAGGTTACGTCGGGGATCATATGAGCGGCTTTTATCCCTATGACAAAAGACATTTGATTAACCAATCAGTGTTGATGTTTCTAATGAGAATCCCACAGTTCCGTGCACTGCCTACCAAGAACTCGCCGTAACAGACAGTTTCATTGGTTAATCCCTTACATCATTCAGAACATGTCAATGATAACAACTCTTCCGGATCCTAGTGTAGTAAAGACAAGTAAAACAAAATTTTGAACTATAAAAACTGAAACGAAATAGGATCTGTGTTTTAATCAGATAGGAAAAAATGTGTGTTGCGAAAACTTACATTGTAGCCATTGTAGCTCCTTGAAAATAAATACTCTTTTTCTCTTTCTCTCATATTATATGTCACAAATTCAAACAGTGTGTATTGTATATCAATAAGTTAGTATTTCCTTAATTGACAATAATAATATATCACAGTCACATCAAGGGGAGGTTAAACTCTCTCTCTCTCTCTCTCTCTCTCTCCTATTTGGAATAATAAAAATAGTGTGTAATGTATATGAATAAGTTAGGATATTCTCAGTTTATATTAACTGACAATTAGGATATATTTATTACAGGTACGAGATGTGACTATACATCGTATAGATGGAGCAGGACTTGGTTTATGTGTTAAAGGTGGATCAGAACATCATCTACCTGTTTTAATATCTCGTATTATAAAAGGACAGGCAGCTGATTTGACGGGTAAATTAGTTGTAGGAGACTCTATCTTGAAAGTAAGTTTATTGTTTCGTTTATCCGTTATTGAAGTCTGGCGCAAACTTTTTATAAAAATGCATTTTACACTTTCTATATACACAAGCAATTAAAGAAACATTATGGAAGATTAGATAAAGAGCTGGCATTTCTCACTATAATAGTTAAAAACTAGATAATGAAAAAGGAATTTGCTGAAAATTTCAGTCAAATTGATCCACTCTGAACCAAGAATTTAGTGATTGAATGTTGGGCCTATCCTCGATCATCATTACTAAAGTCGGTAGGATAAAAAACATAGTCTCAATTATCCATTTATTGATATAACCATGAATGAGCGTAGATTAGCAGATTGGATCCTATTCCAGTAAATATCGCAGGCTAGCGATGACATCGAGAGTTCATTATGGTTTGGATACGTTAATTAATGTCTAATTAATAATTTAGATAACATTTCAGGCCTAAAGAAAGACCGGCAATTGGCAGATTTACCTCTTGCATAATGTATGTTTAAATATGTTTATTACAGGTAAATGATGTTGATGTTGAGACAACTACACATGATAATGTTGTTCAGATGTTAAAAGATGCAGGGGAGACAATTAAACTAACTGTTAAACATTTTAAACCAGCCTCACATTTTCTTAACAAAGGTAACTTTACACTACAACTTGGGTATCATTTAGTTGTGTTGTATTTAATATTAAGTTTCAAACCATTGTTGGAAAACTGTTCAAATCTGTTGAGAATCATAGAAAACCATTTAGTTTCTACTGTTGTGTAGTTTAAAGGGTCTGTTTAGACAAAACAGATTAGTGAAATGAAGAAGCCTATTGAATGTAAGCAATTTCCGTCAATTACTTCTAGAGTTATGGCCCTTGTTTTTACTTTGTTGAACCTTGTGAACATTCGAACGACAAAAGTTATCATCCGATCTGTATGGAATTTATATGCATTATTTGAATTAGTGAAATGAAAAAGCCTGTCAAATTTCATCAATTTCTGTAGATTACTTCCAGTGTTATGGCCCTTATTTTAGTTTTTAGAGCCTTGTGAACCCTCAAACGCCGAAAATTATAATGTCATCTGTATGAAATTGTCTATTAAATGCCCCTAATTACCTACAAAAGAATAAATATGTGACAACCCTTGTCGACCGCTCGGACGATTTAGCTGCTGTGGGCGTATGTTTTGTTGCCTGGCAACCTATCTTACTTGTCTTTACTACACTAGGATCTGGAAAAGTTGTTATATAAGCCGCATTCTGGGTAATGTGAGGGATTAGCCAATGAAGCAGTCTGTTACGGCGAGTTCTTGGCATACTGAGCACAGAACTGTGGGTAAACCACTAGAAACGTCAATGCTGGTTGATTAATCAGTGTCTTGACATCATAGGGTCTAAAGCCGCTCGTATGACCTCTGACGTGACCTCCCATTACAACCGGTCATATCTTTATGTAGTGTTAGACATCGAAAGTATAAAAAAACAAAACGAAATATAGATTGCTAAATCCCCCAAAGGATATTCAGTAGCTTTAAATAGATATAAGCCTATTTCATGGTTAATGTGAAAAATACAAACTAATGTTTAATTGATAGATCTTGATGTGTTAATTTTATTTAGCTTTGTGTGTTAAAATTTGTATTATTTCATACAATTTGCAAGGTTTAAAATATTATGGTATTTATTAAAAGAATAACCTTTTTTGTTTGTTTTTACAGGGAATAATTTAAGAAAAGACTCAACCGAAGAGGTATTTACATATTTAGTCAGTGTTCAGAAATAAACTGAAATACATACCAAATTTACTATTTGCTAAAAATTTGAACTTGCACTTTGCAGTCATTTTAATTCGACCTATACGCTCGTATCATACAACATTTAAGCTAGGTTTTAGCTTTAGTCATGAAATGAAATGAAATGTGGTTTAACGTCCTATTGTTTTGCTCCAATTGAGCTAATGAAGACGGGCATACGCCATACAGTGGTGCTACTGTTCAGCTCCGAATGGGCTAATGAAGACGGTCATATGCCAGCCATACAGAGTGCTATGAGGGAAATCTTGCCTGGACCTACTCTTATATTGAATTCCAACTGTCAAAGGATCTTTTACATGCATGCCAATGTGTATATGGCACATCAGTTTTTTGTACCATCCGAACGACTAGACAGCTGTCGATGTCAGGGCTTTAATTACAGGGCATAATGATTTGTTTAACACTATATTATCTCATGTTTAACAGTGAATTATTTAATATGTTATGTTTTTTTTTTTTAGGAGAGACAGTTGCGTATACCCGGTTTACCTAGAATAGAGAAAACTTGGACTGATGTTGTCTGTGTACCATTATTATATGGTCGAGTTTCAAGATATTTTCCTGGTACAGATAAATTAAGGTAGGGCTATTCACTCTTAAAATACATCAAATAACTGTGAGGAACCATGGTGGCTCGATGAGTAAGGTACTAGCTCACTAATCGGCATACTCCCCGCAGTGTTTCGTTTGATTAGAACTAATTCCACTAACCACTGCTTTAATGGAAGCAAATTTCTGTTCCAAAGCAGACTATTCAATAGTCCGTTTAACAACCAATAGATAACTGCGTAACAATTTGATTACGCTTTAAACAATGCTCCAAATTGGACCAAATATGTTTACATAACGTTACGTCACGACTCACGATTTTGTTTTGCTAAATTAACCAGTGCATAACAGAATATTGCAGAAACAGTAATTGCGTGACAAACGAGGCTATCAACATGGATACAATATAAACAATACTGTATGTATTTTCACCGTTTTTAGTACCTTAAATCACTGTTCAAAGTTTTAGAGAAGACCCCTGATTAAACTAAGGGCTGCCATGTTGCTGTACTTGGGATAGATTTGATTGAATGGGAAGAATAGACACACTCCCTTAAAAGCTCAAGTATCAGAAGCTAATCCAGCAATGGGCGGAGAGGGATATCTCGGGCCATTGCTTCAGGAATATGACTAATCGGGAGATCCAGGGTTAAGTCATGGTGTTTGTAGAAAAAGTTCCATGAGATGCAATCTGACTAAAATTCAAATCTATGTTTCGTTTTGTTTTTTATACTTTCGATGGCCTACACTACATGAAGATCTGACCGGTTGTAGTGGAAGGTTGCATCAGAGGTCATACGAACGACTTTTGACCCTATGATGTCAGACATTTGATTTACCAATCAGCGTTGATGTTTCTAGTGAGAATCCCACAGTTCCGTGCACCGCCCGCCAAGAACTCGCCATAACAGACCGTTTCATTGGCCAATGCATACGCCATACAGTGTGCTATGAGGGAAATTTTCCACGGGCAGTGGCACTGTGACCTAGTCTTATATCAAATTCCAACTGCCAAGGGATCTTATATGTGCAAGCCAATGTATACACAGGACCTCGGTTTTTCGTCCCATTCGAACGATTAGACACCAGAAAATCATAATGAACTTTCTCGGCCAATGCAGGGATCGAACACGTGACCTCGAGACTAGCAAGGCAGCGTCTTATCCACTTAACCACCATGACAGTTGGAAATGCTGCTGTTTGGACAAAATTTCCCTCATAGAAAACTGTATGCCATATGCCCCTCTTCATCAGCCGAATTCGTGCAGAAATAATAGGACATTTTCAACATCAGTTATATCATTGTACTGTGTCCAACCTCATGGGTTTTCTCCGGGTCCTCCCACTGTTAAAGACCCCTACGCGCAAGCGAATTATTGAAATAAAAATTGAATCATGCGTTAGTCCTGAAATGACCTTCTTTGTGTCAAGTGAACAAACCCCATTTCTCTCTCTCTCTCTCTCTCTCTCTCTCTCTCTCTCTCTCATTGTACCTTGTTGTATAATAATGATAATAATCAATTTGTATAGTGCTCAGTGCTCCAGGGCGCCCTTTAGAGTCAAAATATATATAATATGAAACATTTATTCTAAAACATTAAAATGTCAACATGTTCATAGTTTAAAAAGTTCAGTTTTAAGATTCTTTTCTTTGCCTCAGGGGAGCAAGATATTTTATTCATAGAATATGAGAAATGTTAGCGTTATCCCAATTATTTAATTTTTAAGAGTTTTTAAACAGTTTAATTGTTTATTATAATTTAAAATTTTATAGTATGTAAATTGAATGACAGGTACACTGTAATCTTGTGTATTTAGCACTAATTTCTGTCACTTTCGTTTAATTTCAAATCTTTGTTTAAAAATTCGTAAAAATCAATTAAAATCACACAAAATTATCTAATTTGTACTTGTGTCCACTTTAAAATAAAGCTGACTGATTAATTTTGATAATGACTGTCCGATTTTCAAGTATTTAATTTCCACACCAATGTTCAAAAATTAATCATTACACATCAATAATCAATTGAGATACGTTTATTTTTTAACAGTGATTGAGAAATGAAATGCTTTTATATTGAACACTTATTATATTATCAAAATTGAATGGTCAGCTTTGAGCTTGACACAAGTACAAATTAGATGATTTTTGGTGATTTTAAACGGTTTTTATAAGCCCACATTCATTTTTGGTGATTTAAAGCGATTACTTAATGAGTTACTTAATCAGATTTTAGTGTATTATAAATGTTTCATTACTGACAATAGAAAAAATATGTGACAACTCTAGTTGACTGCCAGGACGATTTAGCTGCTGTGGGCATGTTTCGTTGCCTGGCAACCTACATATATCTTTAAAAGGTCCATACTGTATCTTATCTCTGGGATAGTGTATCATTGCAGCCCTACCCAAGTGAATTACTGAAATAAAATTGAACTATATGTTATTGTTAGTCACGATATGACCTAGTTTGTGTAGAGTGGTTGTTAAAACCCCACCTCTGATATTGAGCATAATACACCTGTATTCACCAGTCAATGAACAATGTATAATAGCCTCCAGCTGATGAATTACAACCCATCAATCATTGAGGTGTAACCAGTTTTTATACCAAATTTAGATCGAATGACAAAAAATCAGGCCGAAATAAAGTATATATAAGCAAGTTTCAACTACTTTTTGTATTAAAGGTCAAATGAAATGGGGGTTTAACGTCCTACTGTTCTGCTCTGAACTGGGCTAACGAGGACAGGCATAATGCCATACACAGGGCTGGGGCCATTACATTGCCAATGTAATTAATTACATTACCATTACTTTTTAAATGTAATCATTACAATTACTTTCTCATTTTTAGCTATGTAATTAATTACCATTACCCATTACATTGAAAGTAATTAATTACCATTACCAATTACTTTATGACTATTAAATAAAAAAAACATTTTTCATAGTAATTAAAAAGACAACCTTATTTTTCTGCCATGAAGTACCTACAAAATCAAACTCAAAATAATCCTTGATATTTGTTTATGAATTATTATTTCTAGCAACTATAACATCAAGGCAAATTTTGTAGTGACAGGCAGTGGTGACAAAAACTGACATGTTCACTGTATGACTTGAAAAATGAATCAAAACTATAGTTTTAAATTAACTGTATTTTCTTTTAAGTAATTTTTAAAAAATTTAATCAGTCCAAATAGTTTTTCTATAATATATTGTATAATAACTGGTAAATTATTCAGCATGACTCTAAAACAAAATATATTAGTTTTAAAAAAACATAAAATGATGAGATACTTGAAGGTCATTGTTTGGTTTGTCACTTGTTACCTTGAGATTAAGATTAAAGTGCAGTAAGACTATTTATTGTCTTTTAATCTAACTGACTGATTGATTGATTAATTGACTGAGTGATTGGCTGCAAATTAGTACTAATCTTTGATTATAATATACATCTTATCAGAAATCCACTTCTTAGGTTACATGTCTAAAAAAGGTTCCTACATAAAAAGTAATAAAAGAAAATGTTTAATGCCTTCTTATTTTTCTTATAATTTTTTAAAACTGATTTAAATCTTTTTTTTAGATTTATAATGAATTGGATTTGTGTCAGATACACTTATTTACTTCTTTGGTGCTATAAAATTTGAGGCTTGTCATATTGGAAATATTTATATATGCCATAAAATGTAATTGAAAAGTAATTGAAATGTAATTGACCATTACATGATTTTTGGAATGTAATTAATTACATGTTTTTGGAATGTAAATAATTACATTTCCATTACTTATTACTTTTGAAATCTTCCATTACCCATTACATGACCATTACTTAAAAAATGCAATAATTACATTCCATTACCATTACCCCAGCCCTGGCCATACAGTGTGCTATGAAGGAAATTTAGCCCGGACAGCGGCACTATGGCCTACTCTTATATTGAATTCCAACTGCTAAGGGATCTTTTATGTGCATGCCAATATTTACACAGGACCTCGGTTTTTCGTATCATCCGAAGGATTAGACAGCTGTCCTTGTCAGGCCCTCCGTCCTGCATCACTGACAAGGGGAAACCACGTCGGAAAATCGGGATGAACTTTCTCGGCCAATGCAGGGATCGAACAACCGGCCTCCAGGCTAGTGAGCCAGCGCCTTACCCACCTAGCCACCTCAAACCATCAATTATCATGTCTAGAAACACAGACATAAAATAACAGAAATAACTGATATTGTATTGTTCTACCAAATATAGCCCAAAACTGCAAATTGATATTAATTAATCCTCAAACCATCAATTATCATATGTTTAGAAAAAATAGATATGAAATGACAGAATTAATTGATATTATATTGTTTTTACCGAATTTAGCCCAAAACTGCAAATTGATATTAATTTAGCCTCAAACCATCAATTATCATATGTCTAGAAAAATAGACATGAAATGACAGAATTAATTGATATTATATTGTTTTTACCTAATTTAACCCAAAACCACAAATTGATATTAATTTGATTGATGGTGTGTGATTAAAGGACAATATTGGTGTCAGTCATTATCACATATGAGATAGAACTGGTTAAACACGTTCCAGATATTTTTTTAACACAAAGATCATTACTACGATAGATGTGTTATGAAGCTTTCAAGAAAGGGAAGTGACTAACTCAAAAGGAAAACATGAGTTATCCCTCTATATAACTGACTGAAGTGATGAGTGATAACAGATACATGGGAGAATTTCTGCTCACTAATTATTCCTTCGAAGACCAAAAGTTGTTATGTGAGGCCGTGAGAGGGTATCTGATAGTTTTAACTATTATAGTGAGAATTGCCAGGTCTTTATTTAATCTCCCATAATGTTCAGGGTGGATCAATTTGACTGAAATTTTCAGCCAATTCCCTTTACATTATCTAGTTTTTATACGCCCACATTGAAATGTGGTCGTATATTGTCGTCGCCCCCGTCCGTCCGGCGTCCTCAATTGCTTGTGGACGCTCTAGAGGCTAAAGTTAATATCCCATTGACTTTAAATTTATATACAGTGTTTAAGGCCATGAAACGAAGAATCCTATTGATTTTCAGCGATTTGCGATAATTACTGCCAGAGTTATGGCCCTTGATCACTTCAAAAAATCTTGTGGACGCTCTAGAGGCTAAAGTTAATATCCGATTGACTTTAAATTTATACACAGTGTTTAAGGTCATGAGACGAAGACGCCTATTGATTTTCAGCGATTTCCGATACTTACTGCCAGAGTTATGGCCCTTGATCACTTCAAAAAATCTTGTGGACGCTCTAAAGGCCAAAGTTAATATCCGATTGACTTTAAATTTATACACACTGTTTAAGGTCATGAGACGAAGAATCCTATTGATTTTCAGCAATTTCCGATAATTATTGCCAGAGTTATGGCCCTTGATCACTTCAAAAAATCTTGTGGACTCTCTGCCAGAGTTGACTTCAGATTAAGAGCTTGAGACGAACAAGAATATTGATTTGCAATGAATTTTTATGACTTGAACAGCTAAATCAAAGATATTAAAAGTTTTGTATACTAAACGTTAGCATGGGGCAGAACTTTATAAAAACCAAACAAATTCTAATGATTTTCTGATAATTACTTCATGAGTTGTTACTCTTAATCAGATTTTAGTGTATTATAAATGTTTCATTACTGAAAGAAGTAAAAATATGCGACAACACTTGTTGACTGCCCGGACGATTTAGCTGCTGTGGGCGTATGTTTCGTTGCCTGGCAACCTATCTTTAACTATTATAGTGAGAACTGCCAGCTCTTTATCTAATCTCCCATCATCAAGTTAAAATAATAAGATTGATTAAATTCTTGAATGTATTATATGTTTACCAAATTTAGCCCCAAACCACAAATTGATATTGATTTGAATAATATGATGTGTGAATAAAATATTGCATACCGAGGCCAAAGGCATGTAAATGTATTGTAATAAAATTGAATGTTGGTTTAAAGTCAAACAATGTTATAATAATAAAATTGATTGGGTGTCTTATTTTTTTGTTACAAAATTTGCCCCAAACCACAAATTGATATTTGAAAAATGATCTGTAAAAATAAAAAAAATAAAAAGCAAGGCCAAAGACATTTAAAGTTGCAATTTCATATTTTTACGTTATATTTTTAAAATTTATTAAAATAAAGCCTTAAAATAGATGGTATCTATAAACAGTCCTACCTTGTTAAAGAATAATCCTATTAATCCTATAATTCACTATTGCCAGTTGAGAAATTGGCAAAAATATCATTTTCCTCTTCAAATTCAAACGTTTGAAGATCGTTACTCCATAGTGGAGAATAGAAAACAAGGGAGGTCATTGGGAGGTAATTGTGTTATTATTTCCGGTGTAAATGAGTTTTAAGTGTGAGAATGACACCTATGATCGTATAATAGTGAGTTGACAACCTATTGAGCAAAAGACATAGAAATAATTATGTTTTGACTTTCTTAGAAAATATGAAATTGTAACTTTAATATTATAAAACAAAATTTTGTATGATTTATTTGCAGAAGTAATAGTTTTGAGGTATTTGGCGTTGATGGATCGAGTTCTGGTCCAGTTTATTGTGAAGATAATCGTATGATGGCTGAATGGATTCAATCTGTTACGTCTAACATCAACAGTCTTCTCTCACAGATGGTAAATATATGTGACCCGCTCCCACAAAACCAGGCGCTTGTCGTGCAACTTCATTTTGTACTACGGGCACAAAAGCATAAACTGTACCGGTATACCTTCTTGTTGCTGTGAATGAGCCAAACTCAACTCCAGATGATACTACAAATTTAAAAAGAATTGCATTTTTGGAAAGAGTAGGTTGGGGACTATTCAAATATGCTGCCAGCTCTATTTTTATAAAAATGACCAAGAGCCTGGTTTTGTAGGAGCAACTCACATATTATCTTTACAGAAATTTAAAGTTTACACTCCTCTATTTAGGACGGGGGTTTGGTTTGTTTAATACATTCTCGTTAGATCATAAGCTCTGTCATTGAGGCAACTGGCGTGGTTTCGAATCCACACTTGTACGTGACAAGGAGTAGGGTCGCCTTTCCAACTTCATGGGTTTTCTCTGGGTCCTCCAGTGCCCTCCTACTGCTAAAGACCCCTACGCACAAGTGAATTATTGAAATAAAATTGAACCATATGTTAGTCCTAGTTTGTGTTGAGTGGATGTTAAATCTCTCTCTCTTTCTCTCCCTCTCTCCTTCCCTCCACCCACCTTCCCACACCCCTTTAAGATGTTATTGTGAAAAGTGAATATTTGTAATAAATTAGTAGTAAATTATAATTTTTTTTGGTCTACTTTGGTGTTGATATCAAAAACGTGAGACGTCAGTATCAGTCATGAATTAGATGTTATTATTAGTTATAAATTAAATATTCATTATCCCCGAGACATGGATTTATCATTTTAACGAGAGAATTTATTTATGAACAGCAGTCTACATATATTAACAGTCTGTATTTTTACAACTTTAAACATATATTATACAGGGGGTAAATCTGCCTATTGCAGGTCTTTCTTTAGGCCTGAAATTTTATATAAACTATTAATTAGACATGTATTAACTTGAAAAGACCATAATCAACTCTCGATGCCATCTTATGTGTCTGATTTTCATTGGATTTGAATCTGATCTGTTGTTAACACCCGTTGATGATTAAATGCAAAAATGGATAGTCAGGACTTAGCTAATCCTCGTGACAACACTAACAATGACAATTGAGGCTACAAATATTTTAAAATAAGTAATTTCAGCATATTCCCTTTACATTATCTATTATTTAACTATTATTGCGAGAACTGTCAGCACTTTACCTAATATTTATTATAGATACAGATGACTAACAGATTACTGGTACCTGAAGAACAGGTTAGTTGGGTTTTTGTTTCTTCTCGATTTTTACATCGTTAAAGAAATGAAATGAAATGGAGTTAAACAACCTACTTTTCTGCAACGATTGGGCTAATAAAGACAGATGGATACATCATACAGTCTGCTATGAGGGAAATTGTGCTCCGACAGTGGCGCTACAGCCTACTTTTATTTCAAATTCCAGCTGTCTAGTCTTTCGGATGAGACGAAAAACCAATGTCCCATGTATACATTGGAATGCACGTAAAACATCCCTTGGCAGTTGGAATTCGATATAAGAGTAGGCGATAGTGCCGCTGCCCGGGCAAAATTTCCCTCATCGCACACTGTATGGCGTATGACTGTCTTCATTAGCCCAGTATAGGAGCAGAACAGTAGGACGTTAAACCCCATTTCATTTCCAGCTGTTAAGGGTTCTTTTATGTGGACGCCAATGTGTACACAGGACCTCAGTTTTTCGTACCATCTGAACGACTAGACAGCTGACCTAATCAGGCCCTCTGTCCTGCACCACTGATAAGGGCGAAACCACATTGGAAAATTCCAATGTACACAGGGCCTTGTTTTTTCATCCCATCCGAACTTTCCTCCTTTCCTGCCCCTCCATCCTTCACACACGACAAAGGGAACTTTTTTAACAACACCAGGATGGAACCCCAGACCTTCTGGTTAGTGAGTCAGCGCCTTATTCACTGAGCCACAAAAGAAAATGAACAAAATAAAAGCGTGCTAAAAATAAGTTTAGATTGAATTCAGGCAGCATTCCAATACACCATGTCTGTGGTCATGTAGTTTTGTATATATATCCAGTATGGTCATGTCGGTTTATCATCAAATATTGTCATGTAGTATTGTCATGTAGATCTTTCCCCAGTATTGGCATGTCAGTATTGGCATACTGTTATGACGGTGTCGCCAGTGTTGTTATGTGGTCTGTCACAATTACTGTCATGTTGGTGCATGACCAATATTGTCATGTTGGTCCATGACCAATATTGTCATGTCGGTCCATCACCAATATTGTCATGTTGGTCCATCACCAATATTGACATGTTGGTCCATCACCAATATTGTCATGTCAGTCCATCACCAGTATTCTCTTGTAGGTCCATCACCAGTATTCTCTTGTTGGTCCATCACCAGTATTGCCACGTCAGTCCATCACCAGTACTGTCATTTCGATCTGTCACCATTACTGTCATGTTCGTCTGTCACCATTACATGTACTGTCATCAATATGTCTGTCAATACTGTCATGTCAGTCATTCATGACACTATGATAATGTTGGTGTGTCACTCAGTACTTTAAATACCTTTATATCATTTCTTATTTTTCAGATATTTCTAATGATGTGGGCATCAGAAAAAATGTCAGCTGATCGTCACTGTCAGGCGTGGAAACCCAAATTTCTATCCTTAAAATCTGCTGATGTTTTATTGTTTGATGTACCTCCTGTAAGTATTGAAGTAACAGTATATGATTTTCATTTTTTCGGAGAGGGGGAGGGGAGAGGGAGGGTGAGAGTTGATTATGGCCTGGATCAGTTAATTAACTGGGGAGAGGGGAAGGGAGGGGAGGGGGAGAGTTGATTACGGCCTGGATCAGTTAATTAACTGGGGAGAGGGGAGGGGAGGGGGAAGGGGGAGAGTTGATTATGGCCTGGATCAGTTAATTAATGTCTAATTATTTAGATAACAATTCAGACCTAAAGAAAGACCTGCAATAGGCAGAATTAGCTCTTATGTAATGCATGTTTAATAGTATAATAAAACTATATTAGAAGTCATGGGAGCCACGATGGCTCAGTGAGTGAGACACTGACTGGAGGTTGAGGGTTTGCTCCCGGTGTTGGCCGAGAAAGTTTGTGATTTTCAGGCATGATTCCCCCTTGTCAGTGGTGCAGGATGAAGGGCCTGACAAGGACAGCTGTCTAGTCGTTTGGATGGGATGTAAAACCAAGGTCCCATGTACACATCGATGTGCACGTAAAGATCCCTTGACAGTTGGAATTCGATATAATAGTAGGCCACAGCACTGCTGTCTGGCCACAATTTCCCTCGTACCACACTGTATGGCGTATGCCAGTTTTCATCAGCCAAGTCGGAGCAGAACAGTAGGACGTTAAACCCCATTTCATTTCATTTTCAATTTCCAAAAGCAAAGATATATGAGTTATTTGTGTATATTTTATAGATGCATGCAAGAGATTGGGTTACTTGTGAGATGAAATATAAAGTTTATGAATGTATGTTTAAGTTTTTAGAGGTAAGTTTCAATTCTTCATATATATATAAAAATCAGGCCCTGGTTTCACAAAGCATTCTCAGATTTAAGTTAAGAATTTGCTCAACTTCCAATCACTCTTTGAACATGAAATGCAGAATTTACAGCCAACATTGTAGTGCCAATATTATGAGCGTTTCCGACTGTGAACTTCACTTGTTTTTGGCCAGATGTTGGTATGACTTGTATATGTGGTTTATAGCCTAAATGTAAATGTTGTTTATATTGTATATGTTGTTTATATTGTAAATGTCGTTTATATTGCAAATGCTGTTTATATTGCAAATGCTGTTTATAGTGTAAATGTTGTTTATAAATGTTTAATCTGATTAAAATACAGATCTATATTTCGTTTAGTTTTTATACGCCCACATTGAAATGTGGACGTATATTGCCGTCGCCCCCGTCCGTCCGTTTGTCGGTCAGTCCTTGGGTCCGTCCGTCCGTCCATCGTCCACAATTTCTTGTGAACGCTCTAACGCCAAAAGTTATCATCCAATTGTTTTAAAATTGATGTATGTTGTTTACATTAGTGAAACGAAGAAGCCTATTGAATTTCAATAATTTCTGTTTATTACGTCTAGAGTTATGGCCCTTGTTTCACTTTATTGAACCTAAAGTCAAAAGTTATCATCCGATCTTTCTGATATTTATATGCATTATTTAGATTATAGAAACGAAGAAGCCTATTGAATTTCAGCAATTTCTGTTTATTATGTCTAGAGTTATGGCCCTTGTTTCACTTTATTGGTCCTTGTGATCGCTCTAACGTCAAAAGTTATCATCCAATCTTTCTGATATTTATATGCATTATTAATATTATTGAAACGAAGAAGCCTATTGAATTTCAGCAATTTCCATTTATTATGTCTAGAGTTATGGCCCTTGTTTCACTTTATTGGTCCTTGTGAACGCTCTAACGTCAAAAGTTATCATTCGATCTTTCTGAAAATTATATGCATTATTTAAATTAGTGAGACGAAGAAGCCTATTGAATTTCAGCAATTTCCGTTTATTACGTCTAGAGTTATGGCCCTTGTTTCACTTTATTGATCCTTGTGAATGCTATAACACCAAAAGTTACCACCCGATCTTTGAAATTTATAGGCATGATTTAAATTAGTGAAACGAAAAAGCCTATAGTATTTCAGCAATTTACAATAATTACTTCTTGAGTTATTGCCCTTGTTTCACTTTGTTATATCTTGTGAACACTCTAATGACAACAGTTATCATCCGATATGTATGAAATTTATATGCATCATTTAAATTAGTGAAACAAAAAAGCCTATAGTATTTCAGCAATTTACAATAATTACTTCTAGAGTTATTGCCCTTGTTTCACTTTGTTGAATCTTGTGAACACTCTATTGACAACAGTTATCATCCGATATGTATGAAATTTATATGCATCATTTAAATTTGTGAAACAGGTCTATTGAATTTCAGCAATTTCCGTCAATAATTTCTAGAGTTAGGGCGATTGTGAACGTTGCAATGACAAAAGTGACCTGTATGAAATTTATATGCATTATTTAAATTAGTAAAATGAAAAAGCCTGTCAAATTTCAACAATTTCTGTAGATTACTTCCAGAGTTGAGACCCTTGTTTCAGTTTGTAGAACCTTGTAAACCCTCAAACGACAAAATTTTATAATCTCATCTGTATGAAACTGTCTTGTAAAGGCCCCAAATTACCTACAAAGGAATAAATATGCGACAACCCTTGTCGACCGCTAGGACGATTTAGCTCCTGTGGGCGTATGTTTTGTTGCCTGGCAACCTATCTTTTATACTTTCGATGACCTTCACTACATGAAGATCTGACAAGTTGAGCTCGAAGGTCGTGTCAGGGGTCGTACAAGCGACTTTTGACCCTATGACATCAGACATTGATTAATCAATCAGCGTTGGCATTTCTAGTGGTTTACCCACAATTCCGTGCATGGCACATCAAGAAAATCGCTGTAACAGACCGTTTCATTGGCCAATCCCTCACCTCAACCAAAACGCCAGTAATATAACAACTCTCCCAGATCCTAGTGTAGTAACGGCAAAACGAAATTTTGAACTACTAAAAACAAAACAAAATAGGATCTGTGTTTTAATCAGATTGATAAATGTTTTGTAAATTTTGTTTGTAAATTTTTTATATATTGTAAATGTTGTTTAAAGAGTAAATGGTGTTTATAGCGTAAATGGTGTTTATATTGTAAATGTTGTTTATAGCGTAAAAGTTGTTTATAAATGTTGTTTATATTATAAATGTTGTTAATATTATAAATGTTGTTTATATTATAAATGTTGTTTATATTATAAATGTTGTTTATATTATAGGATAGTGAATTACCTGATGATCGTCAGTATTGTTGTAGAATACAAACAGGTTGTGGTGATGATATTATACTTAGTACAGAATGTAGATCAGAATTATTACAACTAGAAAAAGCCTGGCATAGAACTAATACACTAGCTGTTAAACGTCTTGTTGTAAGTAAATAAGGGGGGGTTGATGGCCAAATGGTTAGCACGTGCACGCGTAACATAAGGTCTGTCATTGAGTAAACTGGTGTTGTTGTACGTGACAAGGAGTAGGGTTGCCTGTCCAACCTCGTGGGTTTTCTCCGGGTCCTCCGGTTTCCTCCCACTTTTAAAGATGTGCAAGCGATTTATTGAAATAAAATTGAACCTTTTCAGTCCCGAAATGACCTTGTTTGTGTCAAGTGGATATTAAGCCCCATTTAGGTAAGGTTAGATAAAGAGCTGACAGTTCTCGTTATAATAGTTAAGAAATAGATAATGAAAAGAGAATATATTCAAAATTTCAGTCAAATTACTTCACTCTGAGCCAAGCTGTCGGCAATACAATTATAGGCTGAAGTCTCAATTATCCATTTTTACGGTAACCGCATCCAATACAAAGCCTATTTAGATGATTTTTGATGATTTTAAATGATTTTCTTTACGAATTTCAAACAAAGTTTTGATATTGAATGAATGTTAAAAGAAATTAATTCTAAATTTACCTGATTAAATGATACCCAGTTTACAGTGTGAGTAGGACAATGTGGGAGGAGTTTCACATATTTGACAAGCCGAACATGTGGAAAAGGTTGTCAATCAGTAATGGAATCCTAAGACAAGGATATGATTTGTTAGAAAATGAAGATGCCGAATGGTTAGCACGTGCGCGCTGTATCATAAGGTCTGTCATTTGGCATGGTTTCAATTCATCAGTTGTACGTGACAAGGAGTAGGGTCACCTGTCCAACCTTATGGGTTTCCTCCCACTGCTAAAGACCCCTAGGCGCAAGTGAAGTATTGAAATAAAATTGAACCATATGTTAGTCCCGAAATGACCTAGTTTGTGTCGATGGATGTTAAACTCTCTCTCTCTCTCTCTCTTAACTTATATATTGCATAGTGTTTGTCTCCTCTCTCTCTCTCTCTCTCTCTCTCTCTCTCTCTCTCTCTCTATTAACTTATATATTGCATAGTGTTTGTCTCCCCTCTCTCTCTCTCTCTCTCTCTCTCTCTCTCTCTTATAAAATGCTTTATATTTACAGAGTAAAACATTTGGTTGTACATGGCGTGGTGCTTTATCTGGTCTCACCATAGATTTAAATTATGGCTTTTCTCTTTATGATCATCAGACAAAGGTAAAATATTGCTGTTAAAATTGGGGTTGGGTGCAGTGATGGGATTTCGTCTGTATATTCCGGACGTGTCCAAAGCTATTTTCCAAACGTCCTAAATTGTCCGACCAGGAATATGCCCAATCGGACATCAAGACATGGTGAATAATATTCAAAATTGTAAAATTAATATAGTGTACTGAGTGTATAACTACCACTCAACCGAATTATCGTTGATAATAGACTGGATTGATTAGGTAATTAAGTGATCAACATATTTACTGTGTTATACCGTCTTAAACACCTACGTTGTTTAACTACTTAATCTGCCTTGAATTATTTACTTAATCCTTTGTCGGACAATTCATCAATCCAAGTCATTGCTTCTCCTTTGTCGAACTATGTATCAATCCAAATTAAGAGTGGTTATAAACTTAATCTACGTGGTTAACTATCTGAGTCCATAATATATGTGTTTATTTTTTTAGAGTTTCATGTGGACGTACAAATTTTCTCAACTAAAATCTTCATCAGATGATGGTAATAAAAAACTGGTTTTAACTTTTAATAGCGAAACCTGTAAAGAAACTGAAACCAGGGTAAGAGTTCATTTTTTATATTTCTACAAGTTGCACTCAGGCCCGAGGTCACAAAGCATTCTCAGACTTTAGTTAGGAATTTACTGAAAATTGTTAGATTTATTTTAACTGAAATATAGCCCTTTATAAAACTTTTGTTGTTTTAATGTATCAAATACATCAATAAGAAACTATGTGAAAAATTTTGTGTTTGTGGATCAAAGATATTTCTCATAAAGAGTGATTGAAAGTTGAGTAAATTCTTTAAAAAATCAGATCGATGTGATTAAGTTGAAAGGACAAGAAATGATAATCATATTCTGTAGATATATAATTGTATGTAGCATGTGCATTATTTAACAGAAATGGTGAAATGGGGTTAAATGTCCTATTTTTTCACACCAACTGGGCTATTGAAGACGGGCATGAACCATGCAGTGTTCCACACAGTATGTTATACCCAATCTGCGGTGCTACAGTCAAGGGTTATTTAAAGTGCATGACATTCGCACTTGGGACCTCGTTTCTTTGTCCCATCTGAACAACTAGACTGGAAAACCCAGAGGAACTTTCTCAGCCAACACTGAAATGGAACCCAAGGATGTTTCCCTGGCAACACTACGATGCAAAATAATAAATGAGCTAGCATCATGCTCCCAAAGCTAAAGTGGCTCCTGAATGAAATGATATGTAACAGGATTATCATAAAATGAATGATTATTTATATTACAGGAAATCGAATGTACAGATCTACGAACCATGATGTATTGTATTCATGCCTTCCTTTCAGCTAAACTAGCTTCCATTGATCCTACTCTCTTAGCTAACTTCTGATTGGATAATATGTTGTGTCAAAGTGAGTCAAATCATCAGTATTACATATAGTCATTGGTTGGTATATGTCCAATCAAAAGTGTACATCTAAGTCTGCGTTTCTCATTTACCCTAAAGCTGCTGATCTTACGAACTACAATATTGCACAAATGGAGTCACTAACATAAATATCGGTCCAAGATGGTTCAATCTGATTAAAATACAGATCTATATTTCGTTTCGTTTTTTTTATACTTTTGATGGCCTACACTACATGAAGATCTGACCAGTTGTACTGGGAGGTCGTGTCAGGGGTCATATGAGCGGTTTTTGACCCTATGATGTCAGACATTGATTAATCAATCAGCGTTAACGTTTCTAGGGGTTTACCCACAGTTCTGTGCAGAACTTGCCGTAACAGACCGTTTCCTTGGCTAATTCCTCACATCAACTAGAGAACACCTGTTATATAACAACTCTTCCAGAAATAGGATCTGTGTTTTAATCAGATTGAAAATGGTTCAGAGGCAGAGAAAATTGTCAAAAAACGCACACAGGTGACAAGGGAAATTTTTATTGAATGTCAGCTTCATCTGGCCTATAATACATTAAAAAGATACGTTTTATAAATCCGAAAAAATGTTAATAGTGTATAAAATATAATTGAATATAAGAATTTCTATTTGTAAAACTTAGTAGAATTAGACCAAAAAATAGTTTGATCCCAGAAAATATTGTCAGCCCTTACAACCTAAATACAAATGGTCATTTAAAGTGTATTTCTGCATGTAAATTATTATAAATGATATGGATTAATATAAACATTAATATAAATATTGATTAATATAAATATTAATTAATATAAATATTGATTAATATAAATAGCGATTAATATAAATATTGATTAACATAAAAATTGATTAACATAAATATTGATTAATATAAATATTAATTAACATAAATATTGATTAATATATAAATATTGATTAATATAAATATTAATTAATATAAATGTTAATTAATATAAACGTTAATTAATATAAATATTGATTGATATAAATATTGATTAATATAAATATTGATTAAAAAAAATATTGATTAATATAACTATTGATTAATATATAAATATTGATTAATATAAATATTGATTAATATAAATATTGATATCATAAATATATTGAGCTTTAATTATTGTGTTGATCTCCATAGAAACAATTATATACATTATAATCTGGTTGTGGTTGGGTGTGACCATCAAATATGCAAATAAACAATAAGAATTTTGAGTACCATATTTTTATCAATTATTTAAGTACGCTTTGTGACTATTTACATATTTATTCAATTTGATTTTTGTATAAAAATTGCTATTTCCTTGTGGATAACTTTGATAAAAAATATGAGACCGAACCATTATTTATATATAGAATCTCACTAGGTCTCAAATCTTGTTTGTAATATATTATATTGTATCTGTGAGATTATCTGTTTGGTTAATGTAATTGTTGATATCAGGGTTCTTAATCCATTTTTAAAGGAACCGGCCAGAATTGGGTCAAAAGAGGTAGCATTAGGAAATAGGGTAACTAAGCTCCCATTCCCTTTAATATAATCAGACTTCAAAAAAGATATTGTAATTTGGTATGTAGAATGAATGAATAGCAAGCTTGTATATTTATGGGATGATCTAAATTACCGTAAAATGTGCTAATTACTCGGATCCTGAACCATGTATCCAATTCTCACAAAAGCCTATCTGTCACAACCCGCCGTTCGTGTTTTGACACGCATTGGGTTGTAGTGTGTGGTAGCTCGCAGACCAGTTGCAAGAAACTGGATGAAAATTTTGTATATCCAGGAGGAGCCACGGTGGCTAGGTGGTTAAGACTCTGGCTCGCTAGCCTGGAGGTCGGGTCGGGTGTTCGATCCCTGCATTGGCCGAGAAAGTTCATCCAGATTTTCCGACGTGGTTTCCCCTTGTCAGTGGTGCAGAACGGAGGGCCTGACAAGGACAGCTGTCTAGTCCTTCGGATGTTGCGAAAAACCGAGGTCCCGTGTATATATTGAAATGCACGTAAAAGATCCCCTGGCAGTTGGAATTCGATATAAGAGTTGGCGATAGTGCCGCTGCCCGGGCAAAATTTCCCTCATAGCACACTGTATGGCGTATGCCCGTCTTCATTAGCCCAGTATAGGAGCAGAACAGTAGGACGTTAAACCCCATTTCATTTCATTTCTATGGCCACACACGGGACACGTAAGTCTCACGCATGGGTTTACTAAAACTTCTCCTACAGTAGCACGTTTGACAGGTTGTGAGGCTAGGCTTTAGATATGACTATTAGCTGACAAGTTGATTGACTTGTAATCAACATGCAATAATAATTAACTGTTTTTAAAATACAGATGTGACGTCACCCTTTGATGTTGGCGTACCATTATTTCAAATAATCGTACGGGCAACTTGCCAATCATACATTATTTATACTAGTGAAATATTGGGTATTTCACTGTAAAAGCATGTGCAGAGTGTCTGTATTTTAAGTTGTTTAATGGTCTCGAGCTTAAGACATTGCGTAATATATTGTAAAAACATTCGGGCCTACAGCCCAATATATTACGTAATGTCTCGCTCTCGACCATTAAACGATACGGCCGGTTCATTGTTTTATCTATCAGCATTTTAAAACATCAAGCGACTATAACCAACTATAATCAGGTGATTAAGATCCCTGATTGATATGTAATTATATGTAAAGATATGTCATGTTATGTTATAATACGATATGTGTATATATTTTAGTGCAATATGATTTATTAATACCAGAACTTGTTTATAAACCAGATATTCTAACCAGATGTTTTTAATTATGCTTGCTTTATATATGGTTACACTTTAACTAAAGAAATTATGATTTCTAATAACTTCTGATAATGCATCCAAGTTTGTGTTGTATTTAAGCTTTTTCCTTATTTAAAGGGATTATCCTTTAGTCATGTATGGTTTGGAGATTCTCCTTTATTCATATATCGTGTGAAGAGATTCTCCTTTAGTCATGTATGGTGTGAAGAAATTATCCTTTAGTCATGAGACCCCTAAACACACATGCCAATTAATGAAATAAAATTGAACTACATGTTAGTCCTGAAATGACCTAGTTTGTGTCGTGTGGACGTTAAAACCCATTTCTTTCCCTCTCTCATGTATACTGTGCACTGCACAGTGTGCCGAGTGCAGACTAGTCCTTTGTGACTGAGCTGAAAGTAGATTGATTTATGATAACATAGCTTTTGAAATGACAGTAACCAGCTGATTAAAATCCCTGCTCTGATGATATTTGATCTAATATTTTTCGATATTTCGTTGGTATGTTGATGTTGAGTTATTTCAGTCTTTCTTTAGGCCACATCAATGTGATTTTCTGTTTTTTGGGAGCACCTGTTAAAATTTTTCTTTTTATTTCTTCAGGAAAAAGACTAATTTAAAAACAAAAAGTGCTTGGTTGCATTGTTGAAAGGTTTTTAATTCCAACTAAACATCTTTCATGTTCTTCAAATGGGCTAAGTGGGTAAGACGCTGGCTCGCTAGCCTGGAGATCGCGAGTTCGATTCCCTGCATTGGCCGAGAAAGTTCAGCAGGATTTTCCAACGTGGTTTCCCTTGTCAGTCTTGCAGGACAGAAGGCCTGACAAGGACAGCTGTCTAGTCATTCGGATGACATAAAAAAAACGAGGTCCTGTGCATACGTTTGCGTGCACGTAAAAGATCCCTTGGCAGTTGGAATTCGATATAAGAGTAGGCCATAGTGCTGCTGCCCAAGAAAAATTTCCCTCATGGCACACTGTATGGCATATGCCCGTCTTCATTAGCCCAGTCGGAGCAGAACAATAGGACGTTAAACTCCATTTCATTTCATTTCATGTTTCTCAAATGGTTATTATTTATCAATAACCCGAAGAACAGAAAATGAAATTGACATGGCCCCTTTACTTTGAAAGCAGCTGTCTTTAATTGATGTGGCCCCTTACTTTGAAAGTAGCTGTCTTTAATTGATGTGGTCCCTTACTTTGAAAGCAGCTGTCTTTAATTGATGTGGTCCCTTACTTTGAAAGCAGCTGTCTTTAATCGAGTACAAAGAAATTTGTAAACTGTCAAAATTTTAACAGAAAACTTTCAAATTATTTTCTCTAAGGGCATCTGTGTTGATATACACATATGAGGAAATAGATCTCCACATAAACTATACAGATATTATATCTATTAGGTAAGGCGTCATAGAAACTAGTGTTATCTTAGTTATGGTGGTTTTTGTCTTCTGAACAGCTTTGTTAACAATAAGTCTGATTGAGGCCATTTTGTCTTATGAAAAGCACAAATGACACCATTTGGTCTTATGAATAGCACGAATGACGCCATTTTGTCTTATGAATAGCATGAATGACAACATTTTGTCTTATTAAAATCCTGATTGGCGCTATTTTGTCTTATGAAAAGCCTGATTGGCGCCATTTTGTCTTATAAAAAGCCTGAACGACACCATTTAATTGTCTTATGAAAAATCTTTCTCTGAATACAATGCTTTAAATACAACACGACAAGGAAAATTTCATGAACCCCATGAAATAAATAGAATTCATTCTGTCCACATAAGCTGTTACGGTCAAGCGAATTAAGTTTTAGTTCTAAAGAAAGACCTGCAATAGACAGATTTAGCTCTTGCCTGTTTATTCTTAGATGCTTCCATTAATTATTAGGGGTGATTAATGCTACTTGTTGTTTGTCTGTGGGTTTTGTGGCCATGGATTTGTTTAATTTCTCCCCTTTATAATACATAATGGCATCTGCTAACCAAATTGCCGCAATTTTATTTAATGTTTGCTTCATCTTAGATGCTTCCATTAATTATTAGGGGTGATTAATGCTACTTGTATGTTTGTCTGTGGGTTTTGTGGCCATGGATTTGTTTAATTTCTCCCCTTTATAATACATAATGGCATCTGCTAATCAAATTGCCGCAATTTTATTTAATGTTTGCTTAATCTTAGATGCTTCCATTATTAGTTATCTATTATTGTTGAATTTGTTAAAATCTTACAATTTATGCATTATTATTATTATTATTATTATTGGGAAGTGGATATTGAACTACATCTGATTCCTGATCCGAACAAACTAAAGAATCGGAAATATGACTTCTGGTTGGTTGTTTTTAGGGTAAGATCTGTTTGATAAGGCCAAGTTTCGTCAAAGGTCAAGAGATGTAAACAGGGCTAGCGCTAATCCCAACCCTAACTCTAACCCTAACCCTGTACCTAGCCCTAATGCTTATTCTAACACTTAACCTACAATCTTGTGCCCTAACCTTATTTATAATCTCGCGACCTTGACGAAAATTGAGCTGGCTTTAACAAATAGATTTAGCTTTGTTTTTAGCATCTTCCCTAATGCTTGTTTGTACCATGGACTGTAGTTCATGCTCCTACGCCAGCGGTGGTTCTGATTTTCCAACATAAAAGTCTGCGAAAATTAAATTAATGTTTCATCAATGTTTGAGCTAAAAACAACAATGGTCTTAAATTTCAGATATTGGGAATCGAACCTCTAAATCACATGATTTAATATCAACCAATCAAAAATCAGAACCGCTCTTTTATTTTGTGGAAGGTTGCGATAGGTTGAATGGTCTAACCTATGTGCTTTAGAACATAAGGCCTGCCATCGAGTCAAGTGACTTAGTTTTCAATCCCAAACTTTCACGTGACAAGTAGGGTGGACATTTCTCTCTCTTTAGTTCGTTCGGTA